ATAGAAAACAGTTTCCCCTATACTTTCTTATGCTATTACTATACATAAATGTCAGGGCCTCTCACTAGATACAGCCATTATTGATTTATTGACTGATGTTTTTGGGGACTGTATGGCATATGTTGCATTGTCTCGTGTCAGCACATTAAATGGATTATATTTATAATCATTTGATCCTCTCTCTGTCAATGTTAGTAATCCATGCATTAACAAAATTAACTACCTCAGAAGTAAATTTCGGAATGACTGACCTCAAATCAAGAAAAGGAAAGGAAAGAAGAGAAAAATTCAACTGACTGGTATAACTGATGATGGTGAACCTTGTAGTAAGAATGCCAAGGTGTCTGTAAGTCATGTACAAAGTACTAGTAACGGTACCGTTAGTAGCAATAAACGTAAGAGTACTGATTTACAAAAGTCTAATTGCCCCAAAAAAAAAATATGTGACAATAATGCTTTAAATAAGCCTTGCCCCCAAAAAAGAATAGTTGATGTAGACAGTAGTACTGACAATACTGCTTTGCTATGGCCTCGCTCAGAAAAGATGATAAATTAATTGTTTCAATTAATTTCAAAGACCTAAAAACCAAATTTAATGTCATAGATGAGGATAGTTGTAGTAGTCTCATTGTATCTATAAAACTCTCAAACATTAAATATAAACCAAAAGATAATATAACCAAGTGTGTTGTAAAAAATGACCATTGTAGTAGTAGTCTGATTGTATCTATAAAACTCTCAAGCATTAAATTATAGACAAGTAATCCAAAATAAGATGATGATGTCATCTTTACTTATGAAGAGCCTCCCAACCCAGATATTGTGAGAAGGAGACAATGGGATTATGTTTATTACCCTGGTAATGAAGAATATCAAAGAAGGTGGTGTGAGATTTTAAATCTCAAATTTGTCACAGCTGCTAGAATCTTACCTGGTAGTCCAACAACACCATTGTCAGATGAAAGAGTTCCTAATAGTACTCTTGATGTCCCTGGTGATGGGAACTGTTTATTTAATGCCCTTTTGTATCTCATCACTGGGTCATTTTCTCAGCATTATGAATTACGTAAAGCAATTGTTAGTAATATGCCAAACTTCGAAGAAGAATTGTTTAATAGTACATTAAGTGCAACCAGATATTCAAGCATATATGTGACCATAATTGACAAAAGGTACCTTATGGCGGGTAGTGAAATTTGTCTTTCTAGCCTAAGAAATCCAACTTCCTGAGCCCCATTTATCATAAAATTACTCCACAGGATGCAAAAAGTTTCCATGAAACTTTTAGAAACAATGATTGTCTAACAAAGCACTCACAGGTTGATATTTGCCATTATTAAGATCAATTTTAAAATCCGCCATAAGGGCCCTTTTGTCAATTATGGTCACATATGATTACATAAATAAGTCCAAAATATATAGAAATGGTCTGTGGGCCACTGACACAGAAATTATTACACTAACTGCAATATTAGGTACAATCATATATACATATTCACTAACTCCTACTTTTGTTGGCTGGGCTATATATGGAACCCAAACTTTATATGGCATTCCTTGTGATACTAATACACCTGCTTTGTATTTGAAGCACGTTGGTACTAATCATTTCCAAGCAGTTAAGTCTAGTAATATTTCTTAAGCATTGATTGTTGATGGAAGAGGGTATGGTGAATGGGAGGTCCATCATCTTAAAAACATTGGTTGTTTAATGTGACGTGTATTTCCCTCTTGTGCAATGTGAGTGTGTGTGAAAACCATTGGTGCATATCCACCCAGTATTGCTTGGTAAGAGCTCTAACTCAATTCAGGAAGTGAGATTAATCAATGTATAACAGTGAATATTGAGTACTTGTTGCTATAATGGACAGGGAGAGGGTGTGAAAGAGGTTTACTGTTCATTAAGGTTTAGCATTGATTCAAATTTGTGTGACTATCACTTATGTTGGACACAGAGTTAGGAAGGGAGGAAGCTGTCATTATTAAATCTGGATCTTGTTTGTGGCTTCTAGTACATGTTTATTACAAATAACTGGTGGTTATGGATGGGGCTGTGCTGAAAAATTTTGAAGTCCTGACAAGAAAATTTTTGAGTAACATTAAAATTTGTTATTATACATGTAGTATTAATCAAGCAGTGATTTCGTACACATAATGATCATCATGCATGTTAATGCTGCCATAAATGCTGTGCACATTACATATACTATATCCCAGTTCAGTTTGGGACCAGACATGGGGTAATAGTAATAGCAAGAGTGTATAATTATTTAGGGAGAGTGTCTAACCCGCCTATAATCTGTGATACCACAGTGCGTGAGTTTACATAGCATGGTTATTGGCACCAAGTAGCCATTCTTGCGTCCTTATACTGATTCCAAGTCAGAAGACTGCAAATAAGAGAGAGCCAACCATTAGAAGAACATATTCCCATCTGCTCCTGCTTGTTTCTCGCACTACATGATCCTCAAAGTGAAGATATAAGTCTTAAAGTTGCTTGCATGCTTCAGCACCATTTTATCAGCCACACCCATAAATTTGAAGATTACTGAGATTAACTCGGTATACTTGCAAAAAACGGATGTAAACATACGCACTGTGGTATCACAGAATATAGGCAGGTTAGACACTCTCCCTAAATAATTATCCACTCTTGGTAATAGGTAATAGTAATAGTAATAGTAATTATTACATATTTTAAAGTAATAGTAATAGTAATAGTAATACACAATTGTAAAACTTAAGGTAATAGTAATAGTAATAGTAATATAAAATTTTAAATAGATTGTAATAGTAATAGTATTACATCAATTTCAACTAAAAGTAATAGTAATAGTAATAGTAATTACTGGTGTCTAATTGTGTATACACCACTGTTACACTGGTCAAGGCACCTGATTCAACACAATTTACATCTTACACCAGCAAATTTATCACATGCTGATGCAGCATTAGCACATGCCTATAGGCGCCTACATTTGAATTTGAACCATATATGGTATATATCTTAGCCAGCAGTAAGGGCAATTAGCAGTTTCTTAAGGACTAGTCATGGCTACTAAGTTTCCTTCACCCTTGATTCATTTTGAACTACCAGAGGACACAACTAGGCTAAGTGTAAATGCTGCACCTCTTGTATATCTGGCTCTAGTAAGACTTCCTCTAACTTCACAACACATCTGAAGGTAAGAAAGGTTGCCCTGTTTCCACAGTGTTCATTTAATATTCACTTTAGAGGAAACATCCAAAGATATATTAAGAGGCACAAAAGTCTGGTACTAATGCTAAAGCAAAAGTTTTGGAACAAGCAACTGTTGATTCTTTTATTACTGGCAAAATATATGATCAGAATGATGTGCGACAATGCCGTGCTATTGATGCCTTGACATCACTTATTGCTGAAAATATGCTTCCACTATCTATTGTAGAGTCTCCTTCATTTAGGAAGTATTGCCATTCACTTGATGCTCGTTTTGTAGTACCATCTCGTAAACACCTCTCTACATTTCTATTGGCAAAAAAAGATGAGGCCATAAAGTCAAAATTAAAATATATTTTAGCCAAAGCTGAAGGTGTTTCACTCACACTTGACCTTTGGTCAAATTGAATAATGAAAGGGTTTTTGGGAATCACATGCCACTTTATTCTAAATTGGTCAATGTATTCACTGATGCTTGAATGTAAGCGCTTCAAGGGACGTCACACAGCAGAAAACATCTATTCCTACTATTGTGAGGCAACTACATCATATAATATTAAAGGCAAAGTTATCACTACAGTGACAGACAATGCCTCAAATGTAGTTAAAGCATTTAGCATTCCTGGTTATCATGGTGATTTGCAAGATTATGATGAGGATGAAGAGGAAGATGAAGGAGAAATGAATGCTACTGACCTGCATGATAGCCTTGATTATGTTTCACAACATGATACATGCTTTGCTCATACTTTGCAGCTGGTCATAAAGGATGGCTTTAAAGAAATTGGAGCTGTAAGCACAGTACTTGAAAAGGTTGCTACAATTGTATCATATGTTCGCCGGTCACAAAGTGCAACAGAGATAATGGAGGGAGAAACAAGATTGCAGCTAAGGAATGCTACACGCTAGAATAGTGAATTAAGAAGTATTAAATCGATTCTAAGTGTTTCTGAAGATAAATTGAGGTTGTTGGATACTGCTCATCTAACAGCTCATGAGAGAAATATTTTGGAGGACCTTGTACACATCTTGACTCCCTTTGAAGAAGCAACAGATTATACTCAGGGTGCTAACATAGTTACGTCAAGTTATGTCATACCTTGTATTCAAGGACTCAAGGAGCCTCTTGAAACCCTCTCAGTGACATTCAATTCAAGAATGCTCACAGCACTTGCCAGCTCTCTTGATAAAAGAATGGCAAAATTTGAGAGCCAAGAGCTATTTATGCTAGCCAGTACTTTGGATCCTAGGTTCAAGCTAAAGTGGTGTAGTGATGATGATGAACAACAGCGAGTAAAATCCATTCTACTTGAAAAGGCAGGTTCTAAAGTGACTACACATGAACCAGAAGTACCACAACAAGCGGTCAAAATGGATGCTACTCCTTCTGAACCACCTTCTAAAAGAAAGAAGCAGGAACCTGAACCTAGCAGGCTACTTAGCTACTTATTCACTGAAGAAAGCTCAACGCAAACAAAAATATCAAATCCATTAGATGTTGAATTTTCAAAGTATTTCTCTGAACCTTGTTTAGGTGAGCAAAGAGATGCTTTGGCTTTTTGGAAGGAGCATTCAGCTACTTATCCAAATATATCTAAGTTGGCTTGCTATTACCTGTCTGTACCAGCTTCTTCAGGGCCAGTAGTAAGGCTATTTAGCATTATAGGGAAGTTTTTCTGGCCAGAGAGATGCAGACTTTCCGACTCTGTTTTTGAAAAACTGATGAACATAAAATGCAATGGTCATTTGCTTTGATTAATTATTATAAATAAAGTGACCGTTGACAATCAATAGTAATAGTAATAAGTAATAGAAGTAATAGTAGTGTAAAGGTTTCTCATGTAATAGTAATAGTAATATATTACATTTTGGTGAAATTTGAAGTAATAGTAATAGTAATAGGGAAATATATATGTAATGGTAATAGTAATAATATTACATTTTGGTTAGGTTTCAAGTAATAGTAATTGTAACAGTATTACATTTCCATTTGTGGAAAAGTAATAGTAATAGTAATTTATTGCGTTGTATTGTAATTGACCCCTTGTCTGTTTGGGAAGGGAGTGGAAGCAGCTGTGTGGAATTTGAAAAATGTAGCTACGTCACAAAATGACGTAAATAATGATATTTATTAAGGATGGCGGCTTTGTTGTTTCACTCTTAAAACAGTCTTGCTGCGGCTGATAAGCAGTACAATAGCTGCTGGAATCAACTAGTTTTCATAAAGGCCATCATTTTCAGAAAATCATGCTCTATTAGCTTTGTAAAAGAATTGTCAGTTTGGGCGCTCAACTACATGGCTTATGTAAACTATGACATCATGAAACATCATTGTGGTTAGCTTTGGTATGCCATTGGCTTTATAGGGAAAACCCGGTTCTCAGGGTTCCCAAGGGCTGAGAGACCCAACGTTTTACAGATTTTGATGGACTTTGGAGACTAAGAACCTGTGAAAGTTTCATCTTTATCTCACTTTCCTATAAAAAGTTATTCCTGTTTTTCTTGTCACAAACTCAACTGAGATATACTATGTATGTAAATGCTTGCCAGCTGATGTTATTGGGAATTTGTTCTTATTAATAGTTGTATCTCATTAATAGTTGTATTATTCATTGTCATTAATTTTTCATTGATTTTGTTCACTGCGCATGCTCAGTTGAGCAGAGAAGCAGTTTTTGTTGAAGAGATGATTGTTGTATAGAATTGAGAAGTGAGAACACAAAGAATCGCCCGTCTAGAATCGCCAGTGCCTCAATAAAAGAATTAGCGAATATAACAGATGTTGCGCATAATGCTGCCATCAATGCTGTGCACATTATTGAGTTAATGCTTGCCGGCTGATGTTGCGCAGTTG